CACAGCGCAGGTCAGCGGTCCAGGGAATGTAGGCCCAAAGGTGAACTCACTCCTTGCTTAGCTCACTGAGGGCTGGACAGCTGCCCATTTTACACTTGAGAAGACAGACGCCTGCTCTCCATCCTTGGGGTCCCCTTCAGCTTGAGGGCTACCCCAGTCTAGAAGATACCGTCCTTTGTCTGCTGCCAGCAAGGTCAGCCGGGGTCTCGGGGCTCCCCTGCCTCTGACGGCCCCAGGCCGATGGAAGGAAGCTGCAGGCAGAGGTCATGTCCTGCTCGGGAGCCCGTCTGGGGCAGAGCCGGCCCTGTCCTGGCCCTGGCACCGGCCCTGGAGTCCAGGCCGCTGGACTCCAGCCTGGAGCTGTGTCCGCTGCTCTCTCCTGACCAGGGCCTGGGGGCGTCCTGCTGTCCATCTGTTCTCTCCTCTGGGGCCTAGGGGCTTTGTCCTGGGGGCAGGGCCGTGTTGCTGGGGCGTTCCCTGGCACCCCCCGCTTCCTTTGCTGCCCCAAAAGCAGGATCTGGGCACCACAAGGACAGACGGCTCCCTCAGGCTGCTGGCAACGAGCCTGGCGCCAGCCCTGGGGGTGCAGGGCCCGAGGAGCCGGCGGCTCGAGGAAGCCGCTCGACGGGAGGCCTGCTCGGGAGCAGGCAGTGTTCCCGTGGCCTCCGGCAGCTCCGAGGGCCCTTCCCGGGTACTGCGACCCATCAGCATCCCCCACCCCCGGCCCTCCCGTGGGCCTTGCTGCCGCTTCCGCCCGCCTGGGCCCCCGGTGGCCGCCCCGGCCTTTGTCCAGCTGCTCCCCCTCCCCGTCTGACTCCACCGCCGCCTGCCCTCGCCCCCTGTTGAGGGTCGGGGCGCGAACTGGCTGCGGGCGGCTGAGTGGGAGCGGTGTGGAGGAAGCTGATGGCGCAGCCCGGGCACGGGGCGCCTGGGGGACCTGAGTGTGTGCCCACGGCCCCTCGCTGTCTCCCAGCGATGGGGGTGGGGGGGGGGCGGCCCTGCTGGGTTCTGGGTCCCCCAGGGGCTGGAGCAGCGGGCCCAGGACAGGTACTGGTGTTTGGTGTTTCTGGTCCTCAGGCTGGGGCGCCTCTTTGTGGCTCTGGCAGTGGGGCAGCCTCACCCCCCGTCTGCCGAGCAGACGCTGGTGGCACATGTTGCGTGCGGGTGGTGCCCGGCGAGAGGAGGTTGCGAGCCAGACGAGGCGGCAGGCTGGGGGTCTTTTCCCTTCCCTGCCTCTGCAGGTGGGCTGCTCATTGCCCTTTGCTTGCCCGGATGCAGCCGAGGGCGGCCCCCGTGGCCTCCGTTCGCCCCTCAGTGGTGCTGTGGGCTCGGCCCCTCTGTCCCTTTCTGCTGCCCTCCCTGCGCTGGGCACATTGTGGGCTCGGGCTGGGGGTCCCTAGTGTTGCCCTCCCCCCCCCACCAGCCTCTGTCACCTCCTCTGGCAGGCCCCGGGCTCCCCTGTGTGCGGGCTGCCCCTCCCTTCCGACCCAGTCGGCCAGTGCTTCCTGCGCCCGTTTGGACCCTGCTTGAGCTGCTTCCTCTGGGGAGCTGCCAAGCCCGCCCAGCCTGGGGCTCTAGCCATGGCCCCCGGTCCCCACAGCTTCCTGTCCCAGGGGACATTCCCGCCGACTTCCGACAGATGCTCACGACCCCAAGGCTGTGCCGGGGCCCACCCTGTTCACACCGGACACGGTGCCCAGTGCGCTGTGCCTGCCTGGGGTCCTCGTAGCCCCCCAGGACAACATGGTGACTCTGGGGCCACCCTCCGGGCATCTGAAGAAAGTGTGGGTCTCTGCCTGGGTCGTCTGCTCAAGGCAGACATCCCCGCAGCCCGCCGCTCTGTTTCCAGACTCCTCTTTCTGCGTGACGATCTCAGTGGAATCTTAAAAATGAAGTTTTAATGGTTCAGGGTTATACACATACAGAGTGTAGAGAAAAAAACGAGCCCTGCTGGTTATTTCCGAAAAACAGGGATTCCAGTTTCCTCTTCCCAGGGTCTGCTGCTTTTGATCTTCTAGATCTTTGGGTAACTTTTCTCTGAATAACATGCTCGTTCACTACTTCTCCGTCGTTTCCAACAGTTAGACACTATCTGCTGTCTTGCAAGATGACGACTGAAGTGTCCTTTCACACGTGTGCTTGAACTCCCACACATGCACACTGAGCACACACATGACACACACCTGTGCGCACACGAGCACACACACCTGTGCAACACACTCGAGCACATGCGTGCATACAGCACTTGCATGCACGCACACACTTGTGCACACACACTCGAGCACATGCACACACATGTGCAGACACGCCCAAGCACACACATGCACACACACATGCACGTGTGCTTGAGCATACGCACGCTTGGTTGAGCATACACGCACACACACACGCACACGCTCGAGCACATACACCTGTGCACACACGCTCGAGCACACACACTCGCCCTCCTCCAGCGCGGCTCCGTGCTGCATCCTATTGGCAGGTGGATGAGGCCGTTCCTAACTGCAGTCGCTGAGGGCTGAGCCTCGTCATTACCCGGGATCGTCCTGTTTCCCCTTCACCGTGTTTCCCTGGGGCTCGGTCAGGTCCAGACGCCGCGGCCGTGATTGCACCCTCCCGAGGATGTGTGTCTGGAGCCTTCTGCCGCTCTGGAACCTTCAGTCGCCCCCCTGGCCCTGGCACAGCTTGGGCCCCGGGCCTCTTGGCTCGTGCTGCAGGCGGTCGTGCCTGGTTTCCTGGGTTCTCCGTCCCAGGTGGCGTGTGGACTCTTGTCCACTCCCAAGAAGGGCAGGGAAGGGCCTGCACCGTGCCAGGAAGTGTCCTCTGTGCCCTCACGGGGCCGCCGTGGTTTTAGGGTCTGTCCTCATGGCTCACGAGGGCCGTTGCCTCGAGTTTCTGGTTGCTCATCCCCTTCCCTTGGTTTCCTCTGTCCCCGCGATTCCCGTCCCTCGGAGGCAGGAGGCCCATCCTGGCCTCCGGTCCCGTTCTGTCTCTGTTCTGCTTCCTGGGGCAGACGTCTCCCACCTTTGCACCAAGCGCCGCACTTGGGCGCCGTGGTGTCCCCAGCACCTTGTGTGCCCCGGGCGCCCCGGACAGTGTCCTGTGGGGCTTTGGGGGCAGCGCTTCCTGTCTCCAGGGCTGGTGGCGAGGGGCTGGGTGACCTGGATTTGCCCCCAAGGAGGCCACCTGGGGAGGTCGTGGGCACTGGGGTCGCCCCATGAGATCCGAAACCCTTTTCTGCCGGCCGTGTGGCCTTTGGCGCTTACCCCTCTGTGCCTCAGTGTCCCCGTCTGCGGTGTGAGCAGCGGTGGGGTGTCCTCGCAGCTGCTCGTGAGGACGGCGTGCAAGCCCGTGGAGGCCCGCAGGGAAGCGTGAGTGTGCCCGCTACTCTGGGCGCCAGCCCCAGCCGTTTCCTCGCCACGTTACACGGCTCTTCCCGGTGCCGCTCGCTCTGGGTTGTGTCCCCGTGTGTCCTGGGCTCCGTCTTCCACGTCCGACGTGCTCCCGTCAGGGGCTGGCAAGCGTGCGGGTGCCCGGCTTGCTGCGCCGAGACCTCCCCTCCAGGCTGGCGGTCACCCCTGTGTCCTCTCTTGCTGCTGGCTCCTCCCGCTCTCCCTGCACGGCCTGTCTCCCCTCGTGGGGCATCCGGGAAGCCAAGTCCAGCGGTGACCTCGGCAGGCATCTGGGATGTGAGGCCCGCACTCCTTGGAGCACGTGCGGGGCCCCCGGGGCCCCCCCTGACAGCTGTCCCGTTGGGGCCAGATTTCATCATCCGCTCCAACCACCACCGTCCCGTCGCAGCTGGAAGCAGCTGTGAGAACCAGCGCGTCCGTCGAGCCCGCCTGCGGATTTACCGGGAGCCGGGTGGCCCGTCTTCTTGCTGAGCTGTTCTGTCTGGGCACATGCAGTTGTGTGTCCTAAAGTTGTGTCACTTACTTAACAGCTGATGCATTTACTGTTGTTCTAAGATGAGTTACTGAACATAGTTTTACAACCTTGTTTTAATTTGTAACCCAGTAAGCACCGGTGGACATCCCGCCCGTAAACCAGAGCTCTTTGGGGTGCTCCGGAGTTCCTGGCCGTGGAGGGGCCCTGGCTGGCAGACGGCTCGGGCAGCCCGCTCTGTGGGCCCCCGCCGGCCCCGGGAGCTCGCAGGTCACAGTCCTGCCCTCTCGCGCTCTCGCGTGGGCTTTTGTCCAGGGCAGTGGAGTAGTGGCTGCGATGTGCTGGGAGCCCAGCCCGGCCTGCTGGGAGCGCCCCGTGGGCCGAGCCAGCGCCGTCGGGACGTGGCCGATCAGCCGCTCGCCGGACGGGTCTCTGTGCACACGGCACGTGTGCGGCCACCCGGGAAGCTGATGACACTGGAGGGTCCCGGGGGGCAGTTCATGTCTGGAGATGTCCCTTCCGCCGCCCTGGAGCTGTGGTTCACCGGAGAAGCAGGTGGGGCGGGCAGGAGGCCGAGTGCCCGCGGCCGGGACGGCCAGTGTCGTGTTCAGGAGGCGATACAGGCGGTCGTGTTCCAAGAGTGCTGGGACCGTGGGTGTCACTTCCTGCTCTCTGTGCGCCTGGGAGGCAGGGCCTCGTGTCCCCCTGATCTTACAGATGGGGTCGCTGAGCCCACAGAGGGTCAGTGTCCCGTCCGAGCTGCATTGGTGCCACGTGTTGGGGTGGGTCCGTCCTAGGCAGCCTGTCCCCAGCCCTCCTGCCGACTCGTGAGGCTCAGAACTGAGCTGGAGCCAGAGGCTTGGCGGGTTCACAAGCCCCGTGGGTTCTCAGCTCGGCAGGCAGGGGTGGGCTTGCTCAGGGGAGAGGTGATTCCCGGTGTCTGTCCTCACGTGAGGACAGTGGAACAGGTGGGCACCTGAAGGGGCTCAGTTGGGCTGAGATGCAGGGGTGGGGACGACGTGAAGCCAGGCCGGTGGGCTGGGCGGGCAGGGGCCCGAGTGATCCTGGGTCTGGAGCACTAACTCCTCTCCCTTCCTGCTTTTTGTCTCCTCCAGCTCTGTGGGAAGGCAGTGGCCCTGCTCTCTGTAAAAAGATGTCCTATGGATCCATCGCTGGCAGTGGCGGCCTGGGGAGCCACGGCCCTTTCGGGGGACCCTCCAGACAAGGCTATCAGCCCCTAGGTAATGACAGTGGCTCGTGGCGTTGGAAGGGTGGCAGGGGTGGCAGTGGGCGGGTCTCTGCTCTGTCGCGATGGTGGCAGGGGTAGGTGGGCTGTGGGAGCAGTGGTGCCTGTGGCCAGGGGCTGGGGCGGGGTGGTTGGTGTTGGACTGGGTCAGCACCAGGAGAGGCTTCACTGGGAGAGGCGGCCCGCCGTGGGGACGGACCTGGTGTCTGAGGCCATTCTGGCCTCAGGCTGGCACTCAGCAGGTGCCCCGAGCTGGTCTGAGGGTGCCTGGGGTACCTGGCCAACAGCTGAGTGGATGGATGGCCTAGACTGGTCTTCCTAATGACAGTGTGGTGCAGGGGTGTAATTTTTGCAACACACAGGGGAGGAAACTGAGGCCAGGTGGGCTTGGGGGCTCCATGCAGCTGGTGCAGGGCAGAGCGGGGACCCCCTTCTAGGACTCCCAAGTCCCCTTGCCCTGTCCCAGCACCGCCTCACTCTGAAAAGCGTGGTTTTGGCTTCTTTGTCTTCTTCCTACTTTTGCCTGTGTGTGTGTGTGTGTGTGTGTGTGTGTGTGTGTGTGTCCGTCCGTCCCCACAGGGCCCCCTGCTGCCTTCGCATGTCTCAGAACTTTGTTCCGTACAATTTATTATTCTGCCGTTTGCTGGCTTTGCTCCTGAATCCCTGATGTCGAATGTCGCTGTCCCCTTGCGTCTTCCTGCTCTGTGGCTGTGTGGCACCTGCACGGGTCCACGTGCGAGGGCCAGCGTGGGCGTCTGTTTGGGGTGCCGTCGCCTGGCAGGTGCAGGGGACCCGTTGGCTGTGTCTGGGCTGCCGCGCACCCGAGGCGCGTGCCGGTCCCGCTCCGGTGCCCCTGGTGCCCCGTCCTGGTCAGCTGTGTTGGCGCCACCCCGGTGCCCTTGGCGCCCGTCCCTGTCATGCCGCGTGGCAGCTGGTGGCGGCCGGTGGCCGTGTGCGGTCTGTGGGTGGGGAACAGTGTCTTCTGGCTTCGCTTTCCATTTCTCTGGTGACCGATGGGACGGGTCCATTTCTTCTCCAGCTGAGAACTCTTCGCCTTAATTCTCCTCTCAAGTTTGCCGTGTTCTTGCTGATCTGTAAGGGTCCCTTCTGCATCCGGGATGGACCCGTCGTCAGCTGGCCCTCCGCATCTTTGCCCGGCGGGGGCCTGCTTCCCTCTGTGGTGCCTGCTGGGCGGGTGCGGGCTGCTAGAGCGCCTGAGCGTGCCTGCGGTTTCTGCCACCTTTGCACTTTGGTTCAGTGTGACAAATCCTGGCACGAGCTGGTACCGGGTTTCCTTTCCTACGACGAGATTTGGTTTTCCGGGGTCAGTCTTTCACTCACCTGGACTTCTGTTTACGGCGAGAGGTGTGTGCGGGGGTGGGGCCGTGATGCTGTTTCTCTAGTCCTGGGGCTAGTCTCCGAAGATGCCGTCCCATCCTGCAGGCCTGCAGAGCCAGAGTCCTGGGACAGCTTCCGCGTGGGCTCGCTTGGTCACTTTTTCTCTTCCTGCCCCAAATCCCGCCTTCGTTTTCAGGGTTACGGGTTTTGGTATTTTTTACGTAAGTTGCCCTACTTGTTTTTCTCAGACATGGCTTGGGTGTTTCTGGCCCTTCGTTCTTGAACATGAACTTCAGACTCCCGCCCCTCGGGCCTGGAGCATTGGCGGGAGCTGCCGTGCACCTGCCGCACTCACCTGGTACAGGTGAGTCCTGGCCCCGTCATCGCCGTGGGCTTCCGGTCCGTGAGCGCGCCTTTCTCTTCCTCCGATCTTCTTCCGTATCGTTCAGTAAAGTCTTACAACTTTTACCGTAGAAATCTTACATACCTTTCGTTAGCTCTGCTCTCACGAAGAAAATGTGTTTGTCGATGCTGTCGTAAGCGGCACCGTTCTGGATATTACGCGTTCGAAATCTTTGTTGCTGGTTCACATACACAGTAACTGGTTTTTTAAAAAAGCAGTCTTGGGGCGCCTGGGTGGCGCAGTCGGTTAAGCGTCCGACTTCAGCCAGGTCACGATCTCGGGGTCCGTGAGTTGGAGCCCCGTGTCGGGCTCTGGGCTGATGGCTCAGAGCCTGGAGCCTGTTTCTGATTCTGTGTCTCCCTCTCTCTCTGCCCCTCCCCCATTCATGCTCTGTCTCTCTCTGTCCCAAAAATAAATAAATGTTGGAAAAAAAAATTTTAAAAAAGCAGTCTTGACGTTTTATTTACTTTTTAAACTTTCAAGTTGTGGACGGTTTGAAACATAGAAAAGTGGACATTGCAGCGCCTGGGTGACTCACTTGGTTAAGCGTCTGACTCTTGATTCCGATCGGGTCATGATCTCAGGGTCATGGGATCAAGCCCCGTGTCGGGCTCCATGCTGACAGCACAGCACCTGCTTGGGATTCCCTCTCCCCCCCCCCCCCCAACCCCCGTCTCCCCCCCCCTCCGTCTGCCACCCGCCCCCCTGCTCGTGTGTGCACTCATGCCCCCTCTCTCTCAAAAAAAGAAAAGCAAGGAGTAGACACGATAACGTAGCGAGCCCCGGGGCTGCCCGCTCCACCTCGTCAGGTGTCTGCTCGTGGCCCGTCCAGCTCCTCGTGCCCTCGGCCTGCCCCTGCGTCATTCTGCGGTGAGTCCCAGACATAGCGCGCACCCTCTGTTGACGTGTCCACGTGCCTCTGAGCGCCCCCAGAGGGCCTGGTCGCATGTGCCCCGCTGTCAATCACGGCTCGGTGGCCTCGCGCTGGGAAGCGGGACCCTGGGAAGACCCGTGTGCTGACGGGCCTCCTACGTCTCTCGGAAGCTCGAGCTTCTCCACCGTTTTGGCCCTTTTTTCCTCGAAGTTTTTTTCTTGAAGAAACCCCGTGTTTCCTGCGGAGCGTAGTTGATTTTTGCCCCCCAACTTCATATCCTGCCGTTTTGCCAGACTCCTGTTGACCGCAATCATTGTCTGGATGGTGTCATTCGTAAATAGTGACATGTTTTTCTCTTCTTCCCCGGTGCGTTCGCCCTTCTGCCTTCCTGAGCCGCTCAGAGCCTCTGTGATGCCGACGACAGGGTGTTTGTTTCCTGTGTGAGTCTCTGGAGGGACAGGGCTCCGTGTTCCTTAAGTGTTTCTGGATTTTGCTGGAAAAGCATCGGGCGTAGTGTTCCCTTTGGGGAATGCTTTTTAGATTAGCGCTTCATGTCTCCAGTTGTAAAAACTACCCAGGCTCTCTATTTCCTCTTGGGTCATTTTGGTTAAATCAAAGTGAGACCTCCGTCTGCTTCATGTAAAAACGTTCGAATTTATGGAAGTGAAATGTAGACAGTAGCCGCTGGTTGCCGATGAGGCAGCCCTGTGGCGTCGCTGAGGGCCTGGCCGGGGGCCGCCTGCCCTACGCTGCCCCTGCCCCACCACCTGGACGTGCGTGACCTCCCACGGACCGCGGCAAATCCCAAAGGCTGGGAGCGCTCACTCTTGCGGTGGCTGCTGTGTTACTAACAGTCAAGGTATCTGGATCGCATTCTTTTTTTTTATTCCTGATAGAGTTTGTTTGTACCTTCCTTATTTTCTTCTTTTACGATCGTGTTGACTGAGGCTTGGCAGTTCTGTAAGTCTCTCTGACAAACTGACTCCTGACTTTCTTGACACCTTCCAGTACATGCGTCTGTACGTGATTGATCTCTGCTCACGTTTTTATTGTTTTCTTCCTTTTTTCTTGAAGCTGGAGCTGTTTGATTTTTGTGACTCCTGAGGAGGATGTTTACCTCATTCGTGTTCAGTTTTTATTCTTTTGTAATAAAACCACTTTAGATTATAAATGTCCAAATAATCACTGCTTTCGTTGAGCGTCAGACATTTAAAAGTATATACTATTCTTAAGTTAGACTTCGGGTGTATTTTCTCATTTCCGTTATGATTTCTTCTTTGACTCGGGATTTATTTCAAACTGTGGTTCATCGTTTCCAAATATATGTGTTTTTTTTCTGGCTATCTTTAAAAAATGATTCTACTTAATTGCATTTTTGCCAGAAGAGGATCTGTATTGTCCTGATTTGTTGACAGTTGTCGGGACCCGGCTGCTTATACTGTGTCCTCTGCGGGGCGCCCTGCAAAGGGTCCGGGTAGGGACCTGGGTGGTGGGGCCGGGCGGAGACCCCCGTGTGCGGGAGCGGCTGCCGTCACCCGGGACCCGCTGTGCACCGAGCCCTGGGGTACATGTGACCCTGGAGGGAGTCATGCAGAGCTTAGGGTGACCTTTTCGTGGAGGAGTCACAGCAGGAAGTTGACTGGCCGACAACTAACACGTGAAGAACTCACATAAATCGAAGGGAAACCCGACAGTCCTCACGCAAGCGGGCCAACTCGCGAGCTCACTGCGGACGGGAGGCCTCACTGTGCCCAGAGAGACGGACTTGGAGGTGACCGCATGCCGGCTCGCTCCGGAGGGGAGGGCACGGGCAGTTCCCGGACCCCGCAGCCTGCCCTCTCCTGGCCCGGTGCCGCCGCCTCCTGGATGGCTGGGAAGTCACCGACCTGTGGGCAGGGGTGCCGGGTGCGGCGGTGGCCGACCAGAGGATTCGCTGAGCGAGCCGGTGGGGCGAGGCGCAGCCTGGGTCGGGCTGTGATGGCGGTGTTAGCGTCAGTTGAAGGTGGCCGGGCGGCCTCTGCACATGTCCAGACGTGGTGACGGGTGTGCTGACTGGAGGACGTGGAGCCGTGCCCGGAGTGTTCTAATTGTGCGTGACCCCTGCCCCCACGGTAACAGTGTTCGCCTCCAGATGCCGTCATCACAGATGATCTGTATCGTTTTCTTATAACTGCGTTCAAACTTCTCCTCGCAACCGTGTGTGTTCTAATAGTCAGAAACAATAGTTGTCTCCGGACCCCCTCAAAGTTCAAGGGTCATGTGATTCCGGAGGGCAGGCCACACGGGCTCCTCCATAGGTGTCTGGGGACCGTGTGGACTCAGCAGGAGGAGGTGGGCAGGGCCCGGGCTTGCCGTGGCCAGATGCCAGCGTGGCGAGGTCATCGGGTGGCGATGCGGGCGCCAGCCAGGCCTCCAGTCTCCCTGCCCCCACGGGGGGAGCTCTGGGGGGCCCGAAGCACAGGGTGACCCCAGTTGCCAGGTACCTGGACGCTGTTACCCGGGGAATGCGTGCCTGCAGGGGCGCCTGGCAGGTGTCTGGGGAGAGGACCCGCCCCGCAGGCTCCCCACGAAGCCCTTCAGGAAGAGGGGCTGCGGGAGACGGGCCCTGGCCTGGAGGCTCGTGCTCAGACCCACAGATGCCTCCGTGTCGGCCCTCGGCCCCCGCCTCCCTCTCACGTGCCGTGACCGTCCGGGGCCGCGCCTGCCTCCCCACACACGGAGGAGAGTTCTCTCGGTCTGACTCGGAGACGTGCTTGTTGCAGTTCTCTGTGGCCGGGGAGCCTCCACCCTCGAGTAAGCCGGCTGCCGTCCTGCCGTCCCGCGTCCTTCCCCTGATGGCCCAGGCACAGGGGCCACCTTCCCGGAAGGGTGGAGGCTCCTCCCGAGGGGTGCCCTCCTCCCCGAGTCTGGCCGGGGGCCCCGGGGGCTGCCTGTGTGCTTTGGGTTCTTGCTGCCTGGAGACCTCTCCCACCCCGGGTGGGGTCCTAGGGCGATTGCTTGGTACAGCCCTTCTGTTCCTGTCACACTGGGCCGCCGTGCCCCTCCTCCCCCCCGCCCCCTGCAGAGCGGTGTCCTTTGCTGTCCCCTCTGGGGAGATGCAAGTCTCAGGCCTTTTCCCGGAAGGAGCTGCCCCTTCAGGAGCTCTGAGCTGGGAATGGCCTGGGACAGGCCGTGTCCCTGGGTTTCAGGGCAGCTGTCAGTGTGGTCAGGTCCGCCGACACCTTCTAGAACTCGCTCCCTGAAAACTGCCTTTTCAGAGAGAGCTCCAGAGAGAACAGGGTCACACAGACAGCCCCGGGCTCTGGTTTGGGTGGCCCCAGGCTGCACGCACCCCCTCATCGACTCAAGGTGCCATGGATTGAAGGGCACATCTCTCAGAGACGTAAAGGTGTTTTTATAAGGCGTGTCTTTGGTTGACGCATTACGGGAAAATGTGTCCAGGAAGTGTTTTTGAATACATGAAAATTACCAAGTGTCTCCCCTGGGGGACCAGCCCCACGATGGGAGCCTGTTGGGGGCCAGGGAGCAGGAGGAGGCCGCCCAGGTGCCCGGAGCCACTGCCCCTCAGCTGTGCAGCCGAGAGGCAGGAGGGCGGGTTTTATATTTATCTTCACTGCCCAGAAGCCACGGAACAACATTCTTACAACAGAATGTTCCCGTGCCTGGTTGCTGTGGTGATTTTGAACTGCCGTAAACATCCCTAAGGCCTTGCTCCCCGTTTGTGTAGATCATTTGTTTCAGACAGGTGACCGGTAACACCCGCTGAAGGCCTGGGCTGGTCTGTGGGCCGTGCCTCAAGGCCCTGCTCTAGGCGATTTCGTCCTTGTTTGGGGTCACCTTTTGGAGTAATTGTGGTTCAAAGAAAGATCTGGAGCATTTAAAGTATTGAACTTGGTGCTGGCCTCCGGCAGAGGGTTTGGCAGTCTGGGAGGGCTTCTTGGAGGAGGTGGGACTGAATGGAGCTTCTTGGCGTGGATGCTTGGAGGGCTCAGGGCACCTGCTGTCCTGTGTGGGGGCCTTGCTCTGCCAGCAGCACCCGAGCTGCTCTGTGGACGGGCTGGGTGTAACTGTGACTGTCCCTTGCTGTCTGTAGAGTGCGCTAAATGTTGGACCGAGTATGGAATACGCCATTTCCCCTGCCCGTCGCCAGAGAGCAGCCCGCAGGACCCCTGTGTGGGCAAGGACGGGGAAGGTGATCTGGGGTCGGCGGGCACGCCCAGAGGCCCGAGGGCCAGGAAGCGAGGTACTTCCGCTCGGGTGCTGGGTCCGGGAGGGTTCCGGGGAAGGCCGCCCAGAGATGCCCAGCGCCAAGGAGGGAGGGTCAGCAGGTGGGAGCTGGGCGAGGCGGCCTGAGGCTGGCCGGGATTCTGGTTGGTCTGTACCTCCCCCCCGCTAGCCTCTCCCTTCTCCAGGGACGGCAGATGGTGTGGCCGGGCTGGACTGGTGACAGAGGGGTGCGGCATGAGGACTTGTGCTGGTCGGGGCCCCGTGGGCTCCAGGGATGAGGCTCAGACCTGTGGGACTGGTTCCCTTGGCCCCTTCACTCCGGAGCCAGGATTCTCCCCGCAGGGGGCGCTGGTGAGGGAGAGTCGGGGTCCCTGGCGTGCGCTGTAGGGAGGGCAGGGGCTGTGGGCCTCTGTAGAGGTCGCCTTCTGATTGACGGGGACCTGGAGGGAGACAGGCGGGGGGCTGCTCTCTGCGTGCTCCGCGGGGCTTAGACATCCCTCTGCCCTCAGGGGCTTTCTCCTCACGCTTGGGAAACCCGTGGTCTGATGGGGGAGCTGCCTCCTCTGCCCTTACAGATGGCCCCCTGCACCCCCGGCAGGCATGTGCCGGCTGGGGACAGAGCTCCCAGCTGGGCAGAGGCCCGAGGACCTGCTGCTTTGCACGCCCAGCCCCGGACCCCCGTGTGTTGAGGACCGCAGGCTGCGGGGGCTCGGAGGGGCGGGGCGGGGCCTCTCAGCCAGGGCCGCCGGGCGCGTCCGTGGCCAGGCTGTCCCCTGGGGAGGGATGACCTGGGAATGCTCCTGCCTGTCTGGTTCCTTGGCTCCCGATGACGGCTGCCAGAGGTGGCCCTTTCTGGAGACGTGCCCCGCAGCCCGGAAGTGAAGCGCCTTGCCCGCGGAGCCTAGTCGGACCTGTGGACACCCACAGGGAGGGGCCGGCAGTGTCCTGAAGCCGAAGCCGGAGAGGAGGCGCCCTGGGGGCCACCCCGCCGGCCCAGGGCCTTACACACCCGCCTTTTGGTGCCGTTCCAGGGCCAGGGGTCGCCCCCGAAGGCAGCGGGACACCAGAGCCCGGCTCACCGCCTGCCGCAAGCCCAAGGAAGGACTCTGCTGGCGGGGCCCACGGCCGGCTGGCGGGGCCCGGCGCCACGCGGGCCAAGAAGAGGAAACCCAACTTCTGCCCGCAGGAGACAGAGGTCCTGGTGTCCAAGGTCAGCAAGCACCACCAGCTGCTGTTCGGCACGGGGCTGCTGAAGGCCGAGCCCACCCGCAGGTACCACGTGTGGAGCCGCATCCTGCAGGCCGTGAACGCCCTGGGCTACTGCCGCCGGGACGTCGTGGACCTCAAGCACAAGTGGAGGGACCTGCGCGCTGTCGTGCGGCGCAAGCTGGGCGACCTCCGCCACGTGGCCCGCGGCCCCGGCCGGCTCCAGGCCTCGGCCCTCACGCCTGTGGAGCAGGTGGTGGCCGAGACCTTCTCCTGCCAGGCCCCCGCCCCGGAGGGCCTCGGCCTGGAGCCGCTCAGAGGTGAGTGCCTTGCCCCGGCCGTCCGGCCGGCGGGAGGCGCAGGCCCGCGGTGGCCTGCTCGTGGCCAGGCCTCGGTCCTCCCGCCACGCTCTCCTCCCCTCTCCTCTTCCCCACCTGCACCACCTCCGGTGGCTCCCGCCCCCGGACTGGCGCACTCGCCTGCCCGCACGGGGACAGCCTTCTGAATGTCCGGGCGTGGCAGGTGGATCCACCTCAGCCCTGACCCTCGCGGCTGCAGAGCGGGGAGCCGGGCACACGACACGGTCTTCCCCCGAGGACTCCGCTTCCTGCCTCTGGACCCCGGCCCCCAGGAGGAAACGCGTTTCCTGTTGCTGTCCCGTGTACGCGCACACACCCGAAACACGCGGGTTTCGTGCGCTCACCCCACGTCACCCTCTGTGCCTCGGCGTGCCCCTCTCTTGCTCTCCTGTCCCGTCCAGGGCTCTTAGCCTGTGCGTGAAGTAAAGCGCTCCCGCCGACTCTCTGGTTTTAAGGCCTGGGTGGTAGAGCTGGGGTTTGGCCTGACGCCCAGAGCCGGCCCCGTGGCATCGGGATGCGGCGGGGGTGGGCGCCTTGAGTTCTCTGGGGCGTGCTGCCCTGTGGGGGTCACTTCTCGAAGGTTCCTGTCGGGCACAGGGGGTCGGGGGACCCGTGGAGGTCCAGCGGGGCGTCAGAGAGCCGAGTGGGTGGGTCCCAGACAGGTGCCGAGACTGCTGGGTGGGGCTTTGCAGCGGCAGCAGCCTTGGGGCCAGAGGCGGAGGAAGGCTGGTGGGGAGGGGGGTGGACGGCAGGTACAGGGGAGGTGTGGGGGGCGTGCAGGTCATCTGTGCGTGCCTCCTTGGTCATCGGGACTGCCGGTGTTAGGTCCTGAGGACCGTTTCTAAGTCCGTACCTGGTGTTCGGCTTTGAAACGGGACCAGAAAATACACAAAGAACGTCAGAAACAAAACAGAAGCAGACACGTGTTTGTGCAGCAGACAGGACAGGCGTTGCCTCGCTTCTCCCCCGCCAGCCCCGCATTTGGGGACGTCGTCTCCGCCGGTGGCGGGCAAGGCGGTGGTCTGGGTGCCGCTGCCTGCGGTGTCCTCAGTGGCACCTGGTGCTGGCTGGGGCCACGAAGCAGTGGGATCCTGAGGCTGAGGGCCTCCTGCTCTGTAATGTCAGGCGTGGACACCTCCGTGGCCTGCCGTGGGCAGCGGGAGAGCTCGAGGTGCCCAGAACCTGTGCCTCCGTTCCTTGGTTCCCGTGTTCTTCCCGGACGGAGCCCAACGCTTGCCTCCCTCCTCCAAGACCGGACTGCTGCCCCGCACCCCGAGCTTGAGGCCCCCTCCTCCCTGGCCCTGCTGACCCTGAGCCCGCTTGCGGCCCTGCTGTGGCCCTGGCCCCAGACTGAGCCCTGCGTGGTCCCTCGGGCTCCCCTCTGCCTCCTGGGTCTCCCCTTCCCCCCGTGGGGGGAGGGGGGCCGGCGCATTCGGCTCAGGGTGGAGGTGCTGTCACTGGTGGGGGACCCAACCGCACACCTTCCTCCCAGCCCCGCCCTCCGGCTCCTCCCCCTCCAGCACTCTCCCCCTCCCCCTCCCCCCAGGTCCCTGTCCCTGTTGCAGGCCCTGAGGCAGGAGTGTGGCCCCCCTGGCAGGGCTCCCTACGGGCCCCTCGGGCCCTTGGCTCCCAGCACCGGGCTTTCCCGGCTTTGTGATGGTTGTCCACACACCTTCTCACCTCCCTGGCACCGTGGCCTGCCGCACACCTGGGTTTCGGGGAGTGGCTGAGCATGTGTGGGAGGCTCCATGGTGTGGCCCGGGTGCAGGTGGCGGGCCTCGCTCCGCACCGGGGACGTCCTGCTGCCCGCCCAGACTTGGATCTGGTCACATGGCCTTTCTTCCCCAGAGCACTTTGCGGGGGGGGGGGCTGTTGCTGCAGAACAAGGAGACGATCTCTCCGGGAGAAACAGGAAAGTACAGAGTACCTGTGTATTCAGGGTCATCCCCCTGAGATTTGGTGCTGTCCCTGCCTCTCCCTGGAACGCAGCCCCTCCCTGGGTCCTCCTTGGTGCCCTCAGCACGGGCCCCGGGCCGAGAGGCCAGGCGCCCCCAACCCCGCACCTCCTCTCGCCCTGTCCAGTGGGGGCTCCCTGCTGCTTAGGAAGGAGGACGCCTCTGATGCCCAGAGGATCCCGTGCTGTTCCTCTTTCCTTCCTGTGCCTCATGCACACGTGGGTCAGGATCCACTCCCCCCACCCCCCCCCCCCACCGCCGCCTCGCTTCCTCCCTCCGCTTGGTGCAGGGGCAGAGATCCAGCCTGTGTCCGCAGGGTGAGTAGACCCAGAAGTGGAGCGTCCTGTGACGCCCGAACGTTGTGACTCCGGTCTGCTCTTAGAGCGCCTCGGTTCTGAGTTTCCGCTCCGGTTGGCAGAGGTGGGGCTGGCCAGGGGGTCTCCCTGTGCTGCTGCTCCAGCCGTGTTCTGGGCTGTGGGGTACACCCGCTGGGGCTCCCCGTGTTGTGCGGCTGTGATGAGCATGTGAGGCTCAGAAGGGGGATGCCCTCAGGGGACTGGTCCCCCAGCTCTGCTCACTGTCTGCCCCAGTGCACAGGGGCCCCGTGGGGTGGGAGGCAGGCGGGCACTGGTGACCCCACGGGGTTCCACGGAATCGGCAGCTGCTTGGCTGGGCCCGGAGGCCAGAGGTGTGTGGTCCCCTGTGGAGGCCGGCTGTGTGTGTGTGGCGGGGGAGCCGAGGGGCCGGCCAGGGGGCCTTGTCCTTCCCTTTGCCGCCGGTGCCCGTTGGGTGTGCTTGGACTTGCCCTCACTGGGGGTTGCTCAGCGTGGGGCTCGCACATCCCCGCGTCCTGTCTGTGGGACGGCCAGTGTCGTCCAGGGAACGGGCTGCTGCTGTCATCACCAGCCTCCTCGGGGCCCTGGGTCTGTGCGGGCGCGGTGCTGGCGGACCCCCAGCAGCCCACCCGGGCAGCAGCGCCCGCGCACTGGGCCGCTGGGTTTCTCCCAGACCTGTCTGCTCTGGACCCGAGAGGCCCCCTGACTTCCTTGCTCATCCCGCGTCTGGGGCACCGTACTGCCACTCGGCCTCCTCCTGCCTGGCCCGAGTGGGCACGCAGTCCTTCAGCCAGCCCTTGGCGGCGGGGCAGAGCCCAGCTGTCCGGCCGGCCCATGTGACGGGGCAGGTGGGGGCGATGTGCGGCTCCAGGGGGCTCCAGCGCTGGTCCCTCCAGCACTGGTGGCTGGGCCGCTGCCTCTGGACCCGGCAGCATGAAGGGCAGGTGTCTGGAGCAGACGTGGAGCTGGGCCCTGTAGGGGACAGAGGGCATTGCCAAGTGTGCGTTGGAAGCCTCGAGTCCCCGTCCTGCCCTGGGCACCTCTGTGGAGATGCTCAGGTGGTTCCCCGGATTTGCGTGCTCAGGAAGGAGCGTCCCGTTGTCTCTGCAGAGGGCGGGGGTGCTGGAGGGCCGTCCGTGTGTCTGTGCCCCGGGAGCCTGTCCTTCTGTCTGCCCTGATGGATGGTTTTGTGGTTGCCGGCTTTTGGCCGGGTGGAGGTACTGGGAACATTTGTATAAAATCTTTGCATTGACAGATAGTGTCACTCTTGTGGGGGTTGATTGATAAACTTTCCAAGAAAGTTTCTAAGAAACTGGCTGTCCCACTATTGGGTCCTGCAGCCATGAGCTTGGGTTTACCCTTCATTCCCGCCACCACTTGGGGTTGATTTTGGTCTTGCTGTACTGGGCTGTTGGAGGGGTCGGGCTGTGCTGGGGGTGGGGCTGTGCTGAGGGGGCGGGGCTTGCTGGGTGGGGCGGGGCTGTGCTGGGGGCGGGGCTGTGTTAGGCTGTGC